CCCCAAAACCCCAAAACCCCAAAACCCCAAAACCCCTATAAGGCTCTTTAAACTTGTAACAAGTATTCTTAATTCTAATAAAAATGGCAAAGAAATTTTTCAGAGGATCAAAAGCAAAGAAACCAGAACAACCTAGAGACCCTGAAGAGAGCAAAGAAAAGAGCTTTGCCGAAAGTGATTTAGATAGGTTCATCGAGCATGATTTTCAAATCGAAGATGAAGAGGAATATATAGAGCAGAAGAAAACAGAGATTAGAGAGCAACTCGAACCTGCTTCCTTCAACCTCGAAACCCATCTAACTCCTGATTCTTTTGAAATGATCACTTCCCAGGGAGATGAATTTAAAGACCCAGGAATCTATGTCGGAACTGGAGGTCTTCTGCTATACTTCTATAAGAAAATAAAATACCTTCAAATGATGAGAGAAGATTTAGAAGAGACAAAGGAGAGTTTTGATATCTGCTTTGAAACTAACCTTGAGCTTTGGAAGCATCAAAAAATGAGTAAAAAGCAGATTCCCTCTTTCTTTATGGGAATGCCTGGAATTCTAACGATTGGGTACCTATTCTACCACGAATTTGGTAATGAGAGTAGAGCTTATGAGTGATTATCTCATATCTGTAATTATGCTGAAATGCCTCTTGAAGAAAGTGAGATCTTATATGGCCATGCTGGCCTTCTATATTGCCTGTTGCTTATTAAAGATAATAACCCAGAATGTGCTAAGGTTGACAAGTATATCTTCCAAGTCACACTTGAGTTGATCCAGCATGGGATAGATAACTTTGATGAATTAGGGGTCGATCAAGATAAGAAAACTTTGTATTACGACTTCCCTCATAGACAAGGAGCGAACTATCTTGGAGCCGCACATGGAGTCATGGGAATAGTTTATTTGGTCCTAAAAGCTTTTGAGTTCATACCACTTCAAGACATCCCTCAAGCGTGTTTCAGAGTTATCAAAAATACTTGCAATGAAATAGCCGGAATGCAAACTGAAGAAGGAAATTTCCCAATGGCTAGAGAGAGTTTGGTGTCTGATCTCGTCCATTTCTGCCATGGAGCACCAGGAGCAATTCCATTTTTATTAAAATGCCATGAATTTTATGAAGACAAGAAGTTCCTCATTGCTGCTTTGAAGGCAGGAGAATTAGTGATCACCAAAGGAATTTTGAAGAAAGGAAATAATCTTTGTCACGGAATTTCTGGAAATGTCTACTGCCTGATGAATATCTATTCACATCTTAGAGAGATGTACGAAGGAGAAGGAGACCCAGATGCTGACAAAGATATACTCAAATGGAAAATAAATGCATATAAAATTGCTCATGCTACCTATATCAAAAATATCCAAATAAGATGAGTGAAGTACAGAGATCCTACCAGAAAGGTAAGAGGCATTCCAGATACTGTCTACTCCTTAATGGAGGGAAGAATGGGCTGAGCTGTAATGTATCTCGACATTCTGACAAATGAGCATAACATGAAGTTTCCAGGGTATGAAATTTAATCACCTTTTATCAGAATTGCAACAGGCTAGTTTTGGGAAGGGGTTTTGGGGTTTTGGGGTTTTGGGGTTTTGGGGTTTTGGGGTTTTGGGGTTTTGGGG